ATTTTCAATCCATCGATAGCATTAAATCAGATTAACATATTGTGGTTGGAGACGGAATCAATCGACCGACCTGTCGGTCTTTAATTCAGTGATTAATTGGACAATCGAGGAAATGATGCATGTGTTTCCTAATCGATTATACCCGGGCAAGCAAATACGGCATTTACTTTATTGCCTTGCTCATGGAGCCATTTGCGATACAACACCGCAGAGGTGTTCGCATAGGCGTCGATGTTGAATGACGTTATGCCGTCAGTAAGATAAGTTCTATTATAAAGCAGCTCATGAAGACAGTCTACGGATATTGGGTCTTCAGGTAGCCAGAATTTGTTCGCAAACAGCTCCGGCCGATTGACTAGAAAAGGTAAGTCAGCCGATGAAAAAACACATATACTGTTGCGCCAGTAACCGCGACATGGATATTTGTCCCATTGCCATATTGTGAAACGAGTAAGAAACGTCTTTCTGTTGTTGGTCTGCAGACATCGACCTGGATAAGAACCGGGCAGTTGAAGATTTTCGTCGTGAGTAAGGGTCGACCAGAAAGCCTCGGTGGGAGAGTCTGAATTTTCTAAGTATTTGAGGAGTTGTTGAGTGACGGGGTGTTTCCGGATACTGTTGACAAACGCCCGACTTAGGGACACTTCCGAATATCCTTTGTACAAAGTTATTCTCGCAGGAGGTGGTCCCCGTGTAATCTTCAGTTGATATTCCAGACCATTATGCATACCTAGTTCATCAAATGATGGTTCAAAAATATACTTCGTCCGGCTGGGAATATCATGAGTCAGCTCTACGTCATTCTGGTCGTTGTACAAATCCAAAATGCGAACTATTTCCTCGTTGTTACGTAAAGGAAAATCGTGGGTCTCAAGGATGATCAAGTAGCGCCATTTAGTCATTTTTGTTTTCTCCTCCAACAGGTACAGCTCATCGATGCACTGCATTTGTGCCTCAAGGTTGTGTTCGCTTGCTCGGGTGAGAGAGAATGGTCGTCGACTAACGACGACATTTGGAAAACAGTGGGAAAGGCGTTCCATTGCTGCATATATCACATGGGGCGCCTTTAGGTCGATCTGGTAACAGTAGAAATTCTGAGGAGCATAGATAGAATTGAATGCTATCTCCACTTGTTCCAGATGCTCATTCAGCAACACCACGTAACCCAGTGGAAAGGCAGCTTCTGTCGGGCTTCTCGATACTGTAGGGTAGTAGTGACGCTGCAAAACCTTGGAGCAGTTGGCAAACAATTCATAACTTTCGAACGCTGTCATTGTTGGACGCTTATCCTTTCGCGCAGCATTGACTTCTCTCTTGTCGTCAGCAAATATTTTGCGACAGTCCGACCCGTGCTTTCGACGAAAAAACGGTGTAGTTTCAACATGCCAGTTTAGGGGTGCCCTACCAGCGTGACATTTTAAACGCAACGTAAGGAAGGTTACCAGAAATAGGGCGAAGATCAGACCTGCAAAGGTTGCGTGCTTGTATCTGAACAAAATGAGGAACTGTCGGTAGAAACAGGTCCAAACAAAACGCAATGGCATCTTTGAAACTCGATTGTACTGTCTGTAAAACAAATACATTTTAGAACATTATGCCGGAACATGTCCTAAATTCTTACCCAGTTTTTTTACCAACTTTTGAAATTCAGTGGTACCGCACAGCCTGTACCCGTTATGTTCAACACAGAATGAGGAGCGACGATCGCGGTTCAGCGAGGCAACATTCGCCTTTGCTAGAAGGATTACCAGTGCATGAAAATGGAGTGAAAATTTATACTGCTGTCGAAGAAGAGTCGAGAAGACTGAGGGCAACGCTGAAACGCATTAATATTAGCCACTGGAAGTGTAGTTAGGCGAAGCAAAGAAGGAATCTTACTGGAGATGTTCAGTAGATCGAAATATACGACAAATTGGTCGTCTGCTTCACGCTCTTATGCCTCTCGCGTACTTCTGCCTGATACCAAAGCGAAAGGACGATAGCGCTATCGAAAATTACGCAGTTGTGTCAACTGCAGGTGCTTACACAATGAATGTGGATAACCGTTGACAACGACGTGTCACCGTCGTTTCGTTTACTGATATACAAAGAAACGCTTGAGACTCTTCCCTCAGCACAAATATGAGTTTTCGTAATCAGGAACACACATGATTCTAATAAATAGGTGTTGAGTCATAACTTAGAATCGCAAAAAAACACATAACAGCGAAAGCATTTCGTCCTTGCTGGCAAACAGACTTTTAGCTTGTTAGGATTGCTGAGGCAATAGTTTCAAGTCAGTCAGTTGTTTTGGTACCCGTTTATCCATTCGGGTTCTAGACACAACGTCTATCATTCGTGTGTCTCCAACGTTCCCAATCATATGCCGCCGTTTCAGATCTGGTGCCGGTTCATTGGACATTTAATAACTGCTTCGCTTTCCTTTCTGAAAGCATTTGCAATTCTTGCCCATACCACCTCCGCAATAGCTTCTCATAGAAGCGGCTGTGCAC